GTAGATTTAAGGTGATCCTAAATTGAGTCCTGAGTCGTGACATTGAGTCATAATGTTGGTCAGGATATATTTGTTTAATGGGAGGAAATCCTTTCAGAATGAGAATAGAATAAAATTCCTTGTTGTGTCACAAAGCATCCTTGTTTTCCTGACAGGTGATGTATAGGATAAGAATTTGAAACCAAACTTAGCCTGCCAAGTGGACCAGTCCTGTGTTCTGCAGCTCCTGCTTGGATACTGCTCTAGTTGACAATCTAAGCCTCAATCCTGCAGAGTGAATTTATTATTGAGGGTTGGAAATAACACTTGTACAGGACTGAAGTAGAAAGTGTTGTCAGAGTAACAGAACACAAACATTTGTGGATGGACTAGCCGGCATAGAAGGCTGTGGACAGTACATTTTTCTTGTGATAATCCAATACATTGGCCTTGAGCAGGTTCAGAAGCAATGGATAGAATGTGACTGCCCTGAATCCTAGTGAGGAGACAGGGACTGTTCTTGTCTCATGTTGCTGCTTGCTTATTACTTGGACTTGCAGTTTTTACCTGTATCAAGAGAGAATTGGAGGGCTGGCACAGTAGGTTAAACCTCCACCTGTGTGCTGGGCCGGCACCGTGGCTCACTAGGCTAATCCTCCGCCTTGCGGCGCCGGCACACCGGGTTCTAGTCCCGGTCGGGGTGCCGGATTCTGTCCCGGTTGCCCCTCTTCCAAGCCAGCTCTCTGCTGCTCTGCTGTGGCCAGGGAGTGCCCAAGTCCTTGGGCCCTGCACTCCATGGGAGACCAGAATAAGTACCTGGCTCCTGCCATCGGATCAGCGCGGTGCACCGGCCGTGGCGGCCATTGGAGGGTGAACCAACGGCAAAGGAAGACCTTTCTCTCTGTCTCCCTCTGTCTCCCTCTCTCACTGTCCACTCTGCCTGTAGAGTGAACAAGAAAAGATAAAAAAAACAACAAAAAAAAAACAAAACCTCCATCTGTGGTGCCGGCATCCCATGTGGGCACCAGTTCTGGTCCCAGCCCTTCCTCTTCCAATCCAGCTCTCTGCTATGGCCTGGGAAAGCAGAAGAAGATGGCCCAAATACTTGGGCCCCTGCACCCACGTGGGAGACTGGGAAGAGGCACCTGGCTCCTGGCTTCGGATCAGCCCAGCTCTGTCCGTTGTGGCCATTTGGGGGGTGAACCAATGGAAGGAAGACCTTTCTCTCTTTCTCTCTGCCTCTTCCTCTCACTGTCTGTAATTCTACCTCTCAAATAAATAAAACCTTAAAAAAAGAATTGGAGTAGATGCTAGATCTTCTTTAGCCATCAGCACTATGGTTTTTATTTTGTTGTTACTGTTTGTGATAGTGGGATTTCTGTGGTAATGCTGTGATTTTAAATATTGTCTTTTATTCCTACTCTTTTTTTGTTTTGTTTTTTTAAATATTATTTGTTTGAAAGGCAGAGTTACAGAGAGGCAGAGGCAGAGAGGGAGAGAAGTCTTCCATCAGCTGGGCCGATCCAGAGCCAGGAGCCAGAGGCTTCTTCCCGGTCCCCCACGTGGGTACAGAGGGTCGAAGGATCTGTATCATCATCCACTGCTTTCCCAGGCACATCACCAGGGAGTTGGATCAGAAGTGGAGCAGCAGGGGCTGGTGCTGTGCTGCAGCGGGTTAAAGCCCTGGCCTGAGGTGCCGGCATCCCATATGGGTTCTAGTCCTGGCTGCTCCTCTTCCCATCCAGCTCTCTGCTATAGCCTGGGATGGCAGTAGAAGATGGCCTAAGTTCTTGGGCCCCTGCACCCACGTGGGAGACCTGGAAGAAGCTCTGTCTCTACCTCTCTCTGTAACTCTGACTTTCAAATAAATAAAATAAATCTTAAAAAAAAAAAAAAAGAAACAAAAGAAGTGGAGCAGCAGGGACTTGAAGCAGAGCCCACATGGGATGCCAGCACTGCAGGCAGTGATTTTACCCACTATGCCACAGTGCCAGCCCCTTCTATTTATACAAGCCAAAAATATGGAGAAAGTAACTTTTCTTTAAAAAAATTTATTTATTTATTTGAAAGACAGAGTCACAGAGAGAGGTAGAGACAGAGAGGTCTTCCATCTGCTGGTTCACCCCCCAGATGGCCGCAATGGCCAGAGCTGCACCGATCTGAAGCCAGAAAGTAACTTTTAAGACAAATACCAAACATTTTAAGATATATGTCTCTTTTGTTTGTAAACATAGATAACATTAATAGAATGCTCATTTTTTGACATCTCATATTTTCTAAACTCCAATAGTAATAAATATGTGCGTGATATGCCATATTAAATGTATTTTAAATGCTGACCCAGAATAAATATATTTGATATTAAGTACAAATATAAACATTTTAAATTTGGTAAATAGAATATTATTCTAATTAATTTTTATTGTTTAACATTTAATTATTTGAAAGGCAGAGTTGCAAAGAGAAATGCAGACAGACAAACACACACAGATAGATTTTCCATCCATCAGTTCGCTCCCCAAATGGCCACAACGGCCAGGGCTGGCCCAGGCTGAAGCCAGGAACTTCATCTCATTCTCCCATTTTGGTGCATCGGCCCAGGTACTTGGACCTTCTTCTGCTGCTTTCCCAGACACGTTAGCAGAAAGCTGGATCGAAAGTGGAGTAGGCCGGCGCCGCGGCTCCCTAGGCTAATCCTCCACCTAGCAGCGCCAGCACACAGGGTTCTAGTCCCGGTCAGGGCGCCGGATTCTGTCCCGGTTGCCCTTCTTCCAGGCCAGCTCTCTGCTGTGGCCAGGGAGTGCAGAGGAGGATGGCCCAAGTGCTTGGGCACTGCACTCCACGGGAGACCAGGAGAAGCACCTGGCTCCTGCCATCGGCAGCTAGCCGTGGCGGCCATTGGAGGGTGAACCAACGGCAAAAGGAAGACCTTTCTCTCTCTCTCTCACTGTCCACTCTGCCTGTCAAAAAAAAAAAAAAAAGTGGAGTAGTCAGGACTCAAAACAGGCCCCCGTATGGATTGCTATTGTCGCAGGCTGCAGCTTAACCTTCTCTGCCACAACACCAGCCCCTGTTGGGTTTTTCACAGTTTAAAAAACAGTAACAAAGATACTTCAGCTTCTTACAAAGAAACTTAACAATATAGATTAAGAGATGGATTAATAAATACAGGGAAGTAGTGTGCTGCCACCTTGTTTCTTAGGAAGTACTGTTAAATGCGTAAGATTGGTCTGCTTGATGGAATTATTAAAATTTATTTGAAAAGTGATGCAGAAATAATGGGACTGTGTAGAGTAATCTTAAATCATCTTACAGAGTGGTTTATTTTGGTCTTCTGCAATTGGTGCTACACATCACTATAATTTCACAAAAAACAATTGATTCCACTGATAAGACTTTTTTTAAACTTAATGACTTTGTTGTACACTATATCAATTGCTCTTGGTTGAAAATGAAAACTCTCTAATCAAGTGTTGTATATGGTTAACAAGTTGATCCCATTAAAGAAATACAAAACTGAGATTAAAGTAAACTAAAGGTAGAGGAAGGGAAAGAAGTTCAGGTGTAGACTACCATTGATTGGGTCAGGCCGATGCTGTGTTTATTGTTGGAAGTTGCGCCAGCCTCTCGGAGACCTCCACGGAATGTGCCAGCACCGTGCTGAGGCTGGGGCGGTGGAGCAGTAGCACAATTTATAGTTGTGTGTTAGCTGTTGAAATTGGGCTTACTAACACCAAAATCTGAATTTGTTTCCTAAACTCAACTTCATTGTTTTTGCATTCAGAACTGAATGAGGCCAACTTCTTTTGGTGAAATATTATTTCCGAGTGCGCAGAAAGCAGGAAATCCTTGAATGAAGCCACGTTCTTATAACTCCTATTAGGAAACTCAGGTTTTTTCAGGTTCATTGAGACAATTGGCTTATTGAGAAGACTTTCAAAAATTTATTCAGTTCAGTTGCAGTCTTATGTGAAAGAATCACCTTTTTGTGTTCAGTGGTTTTTTTTGAAAACTTCAGTTTTCAACGCCTCTCCGGCGGCTTTGGAACTTTTGAATTCTGTCAGTATTAATCATACTGTGCTTAATTTTTTTAATTAGCGAGGCCTTATCTGATTTTGTGGAACATTTATTATGCCGCTGACTCCCTTTACAAGAACATAGTTGAAGGTTTTGAAATTTGCTTTTGCTGCAGGCTTGGAGTTGCAGAGAAGGCTCATCTGTGTTACTGCTCAGGGGCATTAACTTCGAGTTCATATCAGAGCTGTCAGTGCTGTCATCTTTTCTACGTGCATCACATTACCTGGCCAGTTAATTACTTCTTGCAGGTTTTGATAAATCTACGGAAAGGAGGAAGGCAGCTTGGCGATGTAGGAGCTATGGAATTAATGCTAACACTAACATACTGACACATCAACCCTTTAAATATCAGCATATTAGATCAAACATTAGGTCAGGGGTCAGGATGTTGAAGCATTTGCATCTTATTAACTTTTCAGGATCTAATATTATAGGCTGAAATTAAAGTTGCTAAGGTACAGTGTTGCCTAGGTTTTAACGCCAAAGAAGGACTTTGGAGAGCAGTTGTGAGAAGATGCAGTGAAAGTCTGGCCAAGTAGTTGGAGGTGCAGGTTTCACTAGGTCTAGGTATAAGTTTCACTGCGTCGCTAGTTTGTTGGAGGTGCAGTCTATGTGCATGTTGTCTTGGATCACCTCTGCACATCTAGTTTAGCCTGCTGATAGGTGTCTGGGATTATTGCTAAATCTAACGTACAGTCTGATTTGTTATGTACTCTGAGTATGGTTGACTTTCACTGTCCCTGGCCTTTGGAGATGGTGACCAGTACACAGAAACATGTGGGCTTCTGTCCACAGCAATAGCTTTGTGATGATGGATTTGCTGATGGTGGTTTTGATCTGCAGTCCTTATTTGGGTGTAGGTCAAGAACTGTGTCCTTAAGTGCATGTGCCTACACTGAGAAAGTAATGTCTCATTTTATAGACGTTTCCCTTTTTGTTTATAGATATAATACTTTGCCAAGCAGAAGAACCCTGAAAAATTCAAGATTAGTGAGTAAGAAAGATGATGTTCATGTCTGTATCATGTGTTTACGTGCCATCATGAATTATCAGGTATGTTTGTGCTTCTGGTCCTTTAAAAAAATCTGAATTAATTAGCCTTAGATTTTGTTCCCTTTGATTTCTTTGCAATATTTCTATTTGAAGTATACATCAGGATTTAATGAGATTCTGCTGAAAAAGAAAGGTCTAGTTCATTGCAATACTCAAAATTTTAATTCATTGCCCAGTATTTTTTTTTTAATTTTCATTTTATTTATTTGAAAGGCAGAGTTATGGGGGTTATGGGATACAGCAGAGATCTTCCATCTGCTGGATCATTCCCCCAAATGGCCGCAAAGTCCAGAGCTGGGTCAGACAGCAGCCAGGAGCTTTGTCTGAGTCTCCCATGTGAGTGCAGGTGCCCAAGGGCTTGGGCCATCTTCTGCTGCTTTCTCGGGTGCATTAGCAGGGAGCTGAATCAGAAATGGAGTAGCCAGGACTCAAACTGGTGTCCACATGGGATGCCGGCATTGTAGACAGCAGCTTAACCTGTTATGCCACAACCCCGGCCCCGTTGTCCAGTGTTTTAATTAGCACTCATACTTTACAATGTATTTAAAGGAAAGATATTTTTCTCCTACAGCAATAAACTTGCCCAGGTTACTTGGTAAACATTTGTGACATTAAAGACAGAGTAAGTGTCTAGTATGGGCAGTAATAGGACAACTGGAGGATACTGGACTGAGCTGACTAGCACTGTGGGTGGCTCACAGTTCTCAACGGGATGTATGGTGAACAGGCAGAACAGTGTAGTTCATGTCTTTGGACTCAGTGATTCCTAATATTTCCAAGAAGTTCCTGGAAGATTGTTGTTAAAAATGCAGATTGCTTCCTCTGGTGATTGTATGCTGGATTGTATGTAGGCTGAAAAACCCTGGAGCTTGTTTGGTGAATTGATTCTAACAGTAAAGTAGAAGTCAGAGGCTGGAGTATATCAGGTGAACTGACAGGATCATAGGTGCAGTTGGGTAAGCAAATTAGGGGTAAGAGTTTTAGAAGAATGGAATTTAGATAGAAAAATGAAATTTTATTTCCATTGATGTGATGCTGCAAGTGGTTCCAAGTAGAAATGGGCAGTAAATATACAGTTAGAGGGTTGATATTAGCCTTCACATCCAACATAAGGGCACCGAACTGGAGGCTAGCACTGTGGCGTAGCAGATGAGACTGCCACCTGCGAGGCTGGCATCTCATATGGGTGCTGGTTTGAGTCCTGGCTGCCCCATTTCCAGTACTGCTCCCTGCTGATGTGCCTGGGAAGGCAGTAGAGGACAGCCGAAGTGCTTAGGTCCCTCCACCCATGTGGGAGACCTGGAGGTAGCTCCCAGCTCCTGGCTTTGGACCAGCTCAACTCTGGCCGTTGCTGCTGTTTTAGGGGTGAACTTGCAGATGAAAGATCTCTCTTCTATCTGTGGCTGTGCCTTTCAAATAAATAAATAAATCTTAAATAAAAAAAGGTGCTGACCTGAATGTAAGAAGGAAAACATACATTTGTTTTTCTTTCCATTAGTAGTTTTTGGGCTTTAACACACACCGTGTTCTAAGTACTCAGTAAGCACCCTAGGGAATTTATTTTCTAGGTGATGGGAGACAGATGATAAGCAAATGCAGCAGTACAATACATAGTGTTCTAGATAATAATGGCAATGAAATGCAGTGAAAGGCTCTACTTCTGTGGTGCATTTTACAGCTCCAGTGCTTTTAAACCTTTCAGCTCATGTGTACCTCACGACATTCCTGTGAGATTGGTAATAGTACTCTCCATTTTACTGCTGAGAAGCTTAGTCACAGAGAAGTTGAATAATTTGCCGCAAATCATCTGGCTAATAAGTGGTAGCGTCAAGATTTCAACCCAGAGAACCATTACCAAGTACTGTAGAAAAGATAATCTGAAAATAGGAATAGGAGGTGCCAAAAGAGTGTGTGGCATTTTAAGTAGACCAACCAGAAAAGTGCCACTGAGAAGATAATATGTAGTAGCGGCTGAGTCAGAGGAAAAGTGAAAGGGTATTGGGGAAAGAAGATTCTAGGCAGAGAGAAGGACAAGTGCAAAAGCCCTGAGGCAGGAATGAGTCTGAGCTGGCCAAGGTCTAGGCCTGAGGCTAGACTGGCTGGATCACAATAACTAAGAGAAGAATAGAAGGTGAAGTCAAAGGTAACAGGAAATCCTGACTTTACAGGCCAAAAAAAAGGACATTGGATTTATTATGATTGAAAGTTTATTGAGGGGTTCTAAGGACGTGATCTGACACTTGAATTTACTATGCACACTATGGCTTCTGTGTTTAGAATGGACCTTAGAGGGCAGAGGCAAGAAGAGTTAAGGAAAACAGAGGTGGTGATCAGGAGTATGGAAGCAGAAAGGGTGAGAGGCTGCCGTATTCTGGTATTTGCCTTGAAGATGTGGTGAGGGAGATGTTCAGGAGCAGAGGCTGGCACCGGTTTTTGTCGCGTACCTGTGAGATGGTGTTGCTATGCACCATGATAGAGCATGCTGCAGATGCGCAGAGTGGAGGATTAGGAATTCTGTTTCAGGTAGTTTAACTTTGAGATGCCTACTAGCATCCAAACAGTGATCTCAAATGAGTATTCAGATATGCCAGTATGGACTTCAAGGTGGAGGTCTAGACTGGAGATACACACTTGGGAGTAGTTAGCATAAAGACAACATACAAAGAAGGATGAATGCTATCAATAGGGGAAGACAGAGAAGTAAAGGGGTCCAAAACAGGAACCTGGGCACTCTGTTTAAATGCCAGGAAGATGAGGAAAAATTGGCTAGAGAGCCAGAGAAGTAGCCAGAGTGGTAGGAACCAAGTGAAATGGTCCAAGAAAGGAGTGCTCAGTTGTGTCAAACACCCCTGCTGAGCCACCCATGATGAGGAGTGGAAACTGGCCATTGGCTTTGAGTGAAGTATGCGACACTCATGGTCTTGGCAAGAATAGTGTCACTGGAGTGGTGAGGATGGAATGGCTCACTGGAGTGGTTTCAAGAACCAGTGGGAGGAGAGGAATTACAGGCTGCGAGTGTTTGGACTGTACAGATGGCAGGGAAATGAGAGGCAGTAGCTGGACACTTTAGTATCCCCAGAGATTTTTGATTGTTATTTAAGATAAGAGAATTTGCAGCTTGTTTTTATGTCAATGGAAATTCATCAGTAGACAGGGGAGAGAAGAATAGGATTATTTCTGGTGAAAAGGAGTATGATCAAGGACTCCAGTGGAGGGGTTGTCCTTAGATCAGAGCAGGAGTGAGTTCACCTTGAGGAAGAGGGGAGGAAGCCAGCCATAGATCTGCATGGGTGAACTGATGTGGAGGGAGCTTTGGAAGTTTTTTCTGATGGTTTATATTTTTTCTTTGTGCGGGGAAATAAGGTCATGACCAGAGAATGGTTTTGAGAGAGAAAGAACAATTCAACTCAGCAGAATCAAGAATTATTGTTGAGCCTGTTATTGAATTTCTTTGTGTGGAAGGGTTAGGCAACATTCCCCAGAGCAGGGCAAGTTTTTCTACCCTGTGGGATCTGGTAGGCATTGCCTAAGGAAGGGAGTAGACCCTAGCTGCACAATGAGGTCAACTGAAGGCTTAAATAAAATTCAGATGCCAGGGCCCTGTCAGGGGATTTCAGAATAAATTGAGCTGAGGTGGCTCTTAGAAAATCAGTCAGTGCTTTGTTTTGTATAGTCCTTCAGGTCATTTTAATGAGCAGCCAAGGTTGAGAATCACTGGCTAGAGGTTTTTCACCATTTAAATAAACAGACATGTGGTTCATTCTTGCCAACGATTGATCCCTTGATAGTGGCATCATTCATGACATTTTTAGAGACAGACATGATGACACTGATGTGCAAGAAACATCTGCATTCATGAAGATGTAAGTTATATTAGGTAGAAACTTCAAGAGTTTTGATTTTTGATAAACATTTACAGTCTCCTAATGCTTTGTTTTGTTTGTCACATTTCAGTATGGTTTCAACATGGTCATGTCTCATCCACATGCTGTCAACGAGATTGCACTAAGCTTGAACAACAAGAATCCCAGGTAAGCCTCCTTGGTAATGTGCGTGTCTAAAGCTAACTAGGGAAAACCAAGACCTGGTCAGCACCTCACCAAGTTGGATTTTAGAGGTCTTCAAGTGTGAGTCTCTGAAATAAGTTTGGCTATAAACTTTTGTGTGTGGCCCTCTTTCTTCCAGCCAAGTGGTGTTGTCACGTGTGGCAGAGTTGAGCAGTTGGGGATATCTCCAGTGATTCACTGGTCTCTTCCAGTTTTCATTCCTTACAAGGCCTGGCTCTCACATCCTTGCTGCTAAATTTAATGAGAATCAGGTTGTTGGGAGAGTCTAGATACAGAATTTAGCTACACCAGTTAATGCTGAAAGCTATCTAAAGCCATGATCCCTCGTTTATACTTTATTTACTGCTCCTATTTATGCAGCTTTAATTACCAAAGGAACAAACAAAAACACAAATAACTGTGCATGTAGATAACCTTTTACATTCACTTTCTATAAATACCAGCATCCTGAATTATTCACATCAGATTCCCTCTAGAAGCCTGCCTTCATCAGTGTTAGTTATTCTGTGTTTTCCATTCTCTTGGTATTACAAATATATAATTCTCTTTCATCAGATGCCTCTCTATAGACTGAATATCTGAAAACCCTTAATTCAACTCAAAAATCTGATGATAAATTAGTCCTTTCTGATTTGGAGCGCACTGTGAACTATGAAGTTTTATTTAAATATTGAAAATTATTCTCTCAAACTTCCCCTGACTAAACCTTTTGTGACCTTGCAATTCTTCCTTAGTTTATTGGAAACCTAAGTAGCCAGGTGTCTAAGTCCCTGCTTTCCACTATGGGGAAGTCATTACTCGTTTTTCTTCAGACAGTTGACACTGTGGGGTATGAGAGTGGTCTTTGTTTTGATTTCATTTTTATGCATTTTATTCCAGAATAAAGATGAAATACTAAAGTGGCCAAAGGATGAAGAAACAATGATGTTTGTTTCTAAGATGTGTCTCTAGGTTCTCCTTCCAAAAAATATTTTAGACGTGTTTTATTTCCCTGAGTCAGAGAAAATATTCTGTATTAGCACAGCTGTGCTCCAGCCCCTGCCAGGTCTTCTGCACAGGAAGAAAGGACGGATAGACCTGTGACGTCATTGTAGATCTTTATGGTTCCATCCGTAAATGAGCAGATTGGAGGCGAAGATCACTAATGCCAGTCGATTTTGAACTTCTTCTACAAATCTTATATTTCTGATTGTAAAAACAGAGAAAATATTTAACCAATGATTTTTCTACCTTTTCACAAGTTCCCTATTGTTTTTATCCTAGCAGTAGACAGTTTTCAGCTACCTTGAACTGAGTCAGCTAGTGCTAGGGCCGAGAGACTGTTCTCCCCGAGTTAGTTTTCATTAGTGATGTATAACCTGGGGAGTGACTACCACGTGGGCACATTTGCTGCCCGAGATCCCACAGTGCACAGTCAGCAAAGGCTTGAAAATACACCTTAAAGTAACTGCACCGTAGTAAATATTTTAAAACTACATGGGAAAATATTTTAATATTCTCGTATCCCTGTGGGAAGGAAGAACAGCTGACTCATCCTGTCACTTTCGCTGATTGGTGTTTTTCTTTTGTCTTCTTGTTTTGACAGAACAAAAGCCCTTGTTTTAGAACTGTTGGCAGCCGTTTGTCTTGTCAGAGGCGGGCATGAAATCATCTTATCAGCCTTTGATAACTTTAAGGAGGTAGGAAATGCTATGGTTTTAGCAAGAACGCTCACAGAAACGTCTTACGTTTGGACATCTTTGAACAGAATGATTGATCTTTTCATTTATTCCAGCGTCCTAGGAGTACGATAGTTTTCTGAAACATCCCCAAGAGGGAAGTGATGAACTTGGTTTACAGATCTTAAGTGGATAGATTAAGTGTTCTTTGTGTCTCTCGTTTCTAGAATAAGTTAAAAATTATTCTTGGCACTCATTTTCCTTTGGAGAACATGGCATAGCCCAATTTGAAAACAGGTTTTATTCCACATGTGTGGTTTTCATTAGGGTTGATACTTGATTGTTCATCATATATATTTTAAGAACGCTTCTATCGTAGTTACTTCTATGGGATCCTATTTATTGTCATGGCTTTACTGGAGGCTATGAAAAAATCTGTCAAATAAATATAGACAGTGATTTTAGGCATTTGTAATCATAACTAAATAGTCCCATCACAGACAGACAATAAAGCAATTGATGTGCATGATTGAAAATGAAGATGAATTGACACAAAAGTGGAACAAATTCCGCATAAATTATTCGGAAGCATCAGGACATCAGGACAAAAATATAAACCAGCTTCTTTAGGGGGAGGGGACAGTGTTGAATGGCCAAGGAGAGTGCCATTTTCCCTCCAAGCATGTGCCTAACAGCTGAAGCTACTTTGAGGTGGAAGATTCCAAAAGAAGTCCTTGGAGCACTCGGAAGGCCCTGGAAACCCCAGGTTGGAGCAGGATCTGCAAAAAAATTCTGCATTATCCTATCAGCCTCATGGAATTCCAAATGCTTCTGGATTACAAACACATCTGAGAGAGACATCTAAGCTCTCTTTGCATCTTTCCTGAAAGTCTGTGGAGAAGAACACAGATAGTTATTTGTTGGTCACCCACTGCGTGCCAGGGTCATGTTAATTACACACATGACATTTGGTTCTATAATAAGATCTTTGAGACAATTCTTAACATTTTCACTTTATGGAAGAATAAACTAAAAATTAAATATGCGGTTTACCTGTGGTTACATAGCTACAGAAGTGGCTGAGCCAGGATCATCAGGATTTGGTGCTTTTCGTAAGGCTGTGATGAAGTCTGGGCCTGGTGGCGTGTGCATCCCCTCAGGGAAAGAAGGAAAATACTGAAGCAGACAGGAGTTTAGGGCCGTTCCCCCACCTCTGTGTCCCTAATGGAGCTGCCTACCACAGCTGCTGCGTCTGCGGGAGAGCAGCCCTGTGATGCTGTGCTGCCGGCTGGGAAGCTGGAAGTCATGAGAGGGACAGCATTCCTCCCGCCTCCCTTCCCCTGGCCAGGCCTTCAGATCGTGGTGTCACCTAGTTTGTAATGCCAACTGTCGACAGAACCCACTATTGTCATTTTATCTTCTCAGCCCTGGTGATAAGTCAAAAAATGTCCAGTTTCTGCGAGAATGATGAAAAATAAGAGTCTTTACATTCATTTTCTGACTTCCGAAACAAATACATCCTTAGAGACAAGAATGTGTGAATGCTGAGCATGTTTTCCTGTATGATGTATAAATATATAAGTTTCACATTTATAAACAAGGAGGTCTATTTGGGTGGGTGGTGTTGAATATAGGAGAGAAGCAGATGTGCTGCGGGTCCAACTCCCAGGTCTTTATCTTGAGCTCCCATTTGGAAACACAGTTTACCATACAGTTGGCAGTGACTCTTGTTATAGTATGGTGCAGACTGTAACAAGCATCTGATGAAGCTTCAGGCTACATTATATCCTCAATATATAGTTGTCTAAACTCAGAATTCAAGCCAATAATTCATGAGTTGAATGTTGATTTTGTTTCCTCAGGTGGGACAGAATGTCTTTCTCAGGAAGTCTCAACACACACATACTTGCAGAATTGACTTTTAATTCTCTTGTGTCAGCATTATGTTTGGTTTAGCATTCAGGGCATCATATATGCTTAGTCGAAGAAAAAAGTCACCTGGTAAACATCACTGGACAATAGCAATGAGAGCTAAATGGATGTGGACTTTGAATTTGTAGAGTTTTAATCAAAATCCACCTTGTGACTGATGCTAGGGTTGTAGACTCCAGTTCTCCTTACCACAGTTGCTTGCTTCTGAGAGAAACTGTTGTGTAGGAGAAGGGACAAGGACAGAACTGGTGCCATGTGTGCAAGTGGCCTGCATTTCCTTGAGGCTGTGGTGCATGTGGTCAGCTGGAGCCAAAATTATCCTAATGGCTTTGCGAATGAGGACAAGACAGAAACATGCCCCAGGAAGCCTTTCTTATGGAGAGGTCAGAAAAGCAGCATCAGCTACTTTATTCAGTTGTTGGGTAATTTTTGTTTTTAAAACATGGGATGCCATTTGCAGCTCCAAGTATTTTAAATCTCTTACGTTTCTTCCCCTTTTCTCCTTTCTACACATCATGGTGAAGGATGTTTGATTTTATATTTGGCCTGTATGTCATTGAAATCTTGCGGCTCTAGGGAGATCTGGAGCCAGGTCGTCTTTATGGTTTGGGATGCCTGTGCAGAGAGTGTTTGGTCAGTGGATAATCGCCATCAAGCCAGCTGTGGCAGAGGAATACAATGCAGGATTGCAGGAAGTGGACCAAAGAAGAGTCTTTGCCTTTAGGAGGATTGTTTGTAAAGCTTTCATTCCTTTTAGTAAATTGGAATTCTGTTCTTCCTGATAAGAGTGAAGGGGTTATCTCTGGGTTTTTTGTTCTTTGTGTGTGTGTGTGTTTTTTTTTTTTTTTTGGCTGGCAGGAGCAAGATCTGGGGCAGCGGCATTCAGCATCTATGTTTTGTGAACTGGGTAATGTGCTCTTAGAGTAGCTGGACTCTTGGGGCTTTCGTCATTGGTAGAGCACAGCCGAGTGCACTGGTGCGGTGTGGCACAGATGCCCCAAGGAAATTTAAAGATTACGCATCAGAAGTACAGAGCAAGGTTGTTTTTTTTTTTTTTTCATTCTATCTCTTTAGTCAAAAGATCCATTCTAATTAATTCAAATTTTAATTAAAGGAAGGCTCTTTTTAGCTCTTGAAAGATTTTTACATATGATTACATGATCTTATCATATTTCAATTAATCAGAATCCCAACAAGTTCAGTTTTCTATTTTTCCCCAAAGAATCTTGGTATCAGTTTTGTAATACCTGAAGTACATGTTTTCGGAAAGTGAACATCTCCCATTCAGTGCTCTGTGAGGATGGTGAAAGTTGGAGTTGAGGCCTAAACGTGACATCACTGAGAAAGCATCTATGTTGCCGTGTCGAATGTGGCGATGCTTGAGTTACAGTTACATAAATTCAGATGCTAGGTTTATACCATGTGTGGGTTGTGGTATGCCTGCAAACTTGAGCGTACTGAGTAGATGAGGACTGTCTTGTCTAATTAATAGTCAACCATTGTGCCCTGTGAGTTGTCTTAAAAAGGATTAACACATCTGGTTTTGGTGATGAAACACCTCGTGAAAATTAATGGTCCTGAAACGAGGACCAGAGTGAGAACAGGGAGTCATCTTTTTTTTTCCTTGTTGGCTGATTTAGCCACATGAAGGACATACAACCAGGCAACTTAAATTCTTTATTTCTTAGTTGCATGATAGTGTCTTTATTTTTGAGCATTAGCTCTACCAAGTCAAAAAAATACATTTGGAAGTAAAGAGCACTCTTTTTGGTATTTGAATTGATTCCAAGGTAGTTTGCAAGAAGCGGAAACTGCCTCAGGTGTACAGAGGAGAAAAAATTGATTGAAAGGATGTCAAGAAAAGCACACACTTGACAAGGAAGCCTGGAGAGCTAGACTTGGAGAACAGGCGGGCATTCCTAATGCAGTTGACCTCTGCCTGTGTCCTTGGCACAGAGCCGCCATAAACACTATTTGGGGTTCTGGTCATGCATTTGCTCCTCTCCCAAATGACGAGGACCCTAGCTAGCAATCCATTGGGTCGTAGAACTACACCTTCTGGTTAAGGATGGCAGCCAGCCCCCTCTTTAGACTTATCGACACCGTATTTCATCCAGGTTCCTTTTAGGAACCTTAAGGTCTTCAAGCCAGACCTTGTTCACTGCCGCTTTTTCTTAGTCATCCTACTTTTATTTCCATTACATTCTTTGATATGTGAGGATTTGAGAAATCGATTCACTCTGAAAAAGTACTCCTGCATGAAATAAAAATGTTCCCATAAACTTTGCCATGGAACTTCCTACGGTGACACCAGAGATAAAATCCTCTGAGGACTGGAGCCACCGGTTCCTCCAGGCTGCTGGGGGTGCACCTGGGATTCATCAGGATTCCAGATCGTTACAACTGTGTTCTCATCTTGCTTCTGTTAGTGACAGCATCTGGTATAACGAAAAAGCCTGAGTTTAGTTGTTAAAGTCCCCACTCCCTCCCACTTTTGACCTTGTAGAGCAGATAGATGGGACCTTGTGAAATGAGTCAGTCAAGGCCAGCAGCTCTCTGTATACAGCCCTCTTGGCAGTAGCTGTTCTTTTTGTGTATTGCTAGAAGGCTTCCTAAGAAGGCTGGGCATCTGAAAGCACTCGTGCTGCACGTTATTAAGTTGATTTAAGGAAGTCTGTCAAGTTTTATTTGGAGTGGACAAATTGGGCAGGAAGGAGAGCAGACATTTTGGTGTGCTTCCAGCATCTCTCTGAGTCTAGTCCCATCTAATCTCACCTCTTGAACATCTGAGCATGTAGAATTATAAATCCAGCACATGGCTTTCCAGAAAACTCCATCAGTGGTTAGATTTTAACATTGAGGGAAGACTGCTTATTTCTTTTGGTTTCTAAAAACCTCAAACTGTGGGGAGCCATAGTGCTAGTGTGTGTATGCATTTCACTATTGACCAAGGCTGTCATCTAGCTGGTCCATCTTTCGAGGTCAGGAAGCAAAGTCGCGGTGTTAGGTGGTACTAACGCTGCCAAATTTTTAAAATTCGAAAGGCAGAGAGAGAGAATCCATCTGCAGAATTACTTCCCAAATGCCTA